ATGAAAATATATCTCCACTATTAGGGGCAATGAGGCTTGCCCCTTTATCAAATAGCCCCAACGAAGTAAACCCACCTGATTCCCCGACCCCAGGCTCTCCTTTGACCACGGCTCCGAACACTGCAATAACTACCCCTTCACCAATGCCTACTAGTACAGTAGCCAATAATCAACCCTCAAGGAACATTTCCACTCTCCCAGCATGCCCAACTTCAACACCTCTACCCCCACAACCTCCAACATCAACCACCCCATCCTCCCTTATTAATACCTTACAGCCTTATAGCCCACCTCTCCATAACACTACCTCCATCAACACTACTCCATCCTCGTCATGCCCTCGCCCTTCTACCACCCCTATCTCTAAAACAATCTTGAATACTCTCTTCAGTGCAGCCAAATGGGACCGATTTTTCGTGATCCCTCCCACAGCTCCCTACTCTGACAACACCCTTCTCTTCCAACAATGCCTCCAAAAACAAGTAGGTAAAGTCTCTTTCCGTAGCCGACCCGACCGCTCCCGTCTTGTAACAGTAACATCCGAAAACCAAGCCATAGCACTAACAAAACTAACTGACCAATATGGTAACCCCATCCTAGCAGAACCCCATCCAACCCTCAATACTTGCACCGGAACAGTCTCAATCTCACCAGCAAATTGCCCAATCTATGACAAAGATTGGTCAGATTGTGGAGAAGATCTACTTGCCTGTCTCACAGACTACGATGCAACATCAGTACAATGCTACTCCATCCCCCCCCAGAGGTCATCGAAAGAAACCCACTAACATAGCCAAAATTACCTTCCGTAGACATGACCTTCCCTTTAACGTCTACATAGGAGGAGAATCCCTCCCTGTTCGTCCATACCAACCTCCTCCATGTCAGTGCCAAAATTGTTGGCGTCTAGGACACCCAGCCAAACACTGCCGTTCCACAGCCAGATGCCCATTATGTGCCCAACCTGGCCATACCCGATCTAACTGCTCTGCACAATCACGCACATGTGCCAACTGTGGCGGCCCCCATAATGTATTTTATAGGGGCTGTCCCACCTACAAATTTGAATCTGAGGTAGCAACTCTCAAATTCAAACTTGGACTCACACTGCGTGAAGCCAGACAGGAAGCACGTCGACGTGGATTCTCTCTTACTCCTTACTCCAGTAATACTGCTCATTCTAACACTTCTCCTAAACCCACCCCTCCTACATCTAACCCCCCCACTTCTACCTCCTACCTTCCCCAGTCTAACTCTTTTGCTATCCTAAATCCAGAAACTCCAATCTCTAATACAGATACTCCAATCACCACTAGAACCCCAACACCTTCCCCTCTCCCTCCTCGCACTCCCCGTAACAGACAGAACAAACGTTCCACCCCCTCTTCCCCTACCACACAATCACCTCCACCATCCTTTGCCCCTACTCTTGAAACACCAGTCCTCTCTTCCCCCCCCTCACAAGAAATCCTTTATCCCCCACAACTCCCCAACCAACTCCTCAGAAGAAACTATTGAAAATATTCAAGATTACTTAATGCAAACTGACACTCAACCTACAACCCCTGCTCCTTCCACACTCCAAGTAACTGCTGATATCCATCCCCCTCCTAACGATATCCCCCCTACACCCTATCCTCCTACCCCCTCCCAACACAGCCCATCCCCCCCGACCCCGACCCCAACCCAGCCCACATTAACCCTCCCACCATCCCCTCTATCCCTTCCACTCCCTCCTGGATACACACGTGAATCCCTTATGTCACAAGTATCCCCTTCCTCAGACCCTCCATCTCCTAATACCCCTCCTGATAGAACACCAACTCCCACATCTCTCCCATCTCAAACCTCTCAGTCCTTATCCCACCCTCTAGCTGATTCCCCCTCAAAGTCTCCAACACGTACTGCAATCTATATCACTAAATCAACGAAAGTATAACTATCCTTCATTGGAATATTCGCGGTTTCCGCTCCCACAGACCTGACCTTCGTCATATCCTTTCCTCTTATAACCCATCTATTGTATGCCTTCAAGAAACCTTTCTTACACATCCTCCAATACCAATCCCCAATTATCATTTTGTCTCTTCCCCACATTCCCTTTATGTCTCGTCTATACTTATCAATCAGAAAACACCTTATGTCACACCACCCTTTCAAACCAATGTCCCTTGTACAGTTATTCGTATCTTCCTTCATCGTTGGATCACAGTGATTTCAGTCTACTTCTCCCCTTCCCACCCCATTGACTTTGTTGCTTTTAAAATCTAATTTCCCAACTTCAACCACCTTTCCTCATAGTAGGCGACTTTAACTGCCGCCACACTCTTTGGGGTGATTCTATTACCAACTCCCGAGGCCGATCTCTAGACCGCTTCCTCTCCACAGCTGACCTTACTATTCTAAATTCAGATCGCCCCACACACTTTGATACACGCACGCAATCTTTTTCATGCATTGACCTCTCTCTATGCTCCCCTTCTCTTCATATAGATTTCCACTGGTCAGTCTTAGACCACTTTCCCTATAGTGACCACTTTCCAGTTCTCCTTTCTCCTACTTCATACGTACCACTTCCTAACTCCCCACGCTGGTGCTTTGATAGAGCCGACTGGCATACTTTCACTTCGCTCTCTGCTATTCATACCCCTCCATCCTCCCTCACCTCCATTTCAGAAATGATACAATGTTTCACAACTACAGTCTTAAGAGCTGCACATACAGCTATCCCTCGAACCTCAAGACCATATACCTCTAAATGTGTTCCATGGTGGAATTCTGATTGCACTAAAGCATTTCGCTTAAAACGTGCAGCCTGGAACAGTTACCGCTACAAGAGAGGTACTCCAAATCAACTATCAGCCCTTATCTCCTTTAAAAGAGCATCTGCCTGTCTTCGTCGTACAATCCGGAATAGTAAAACAAATAGCTGGCGAAATTATGTTTCATCAATTACATCCTCTACATCTATCTCAAATGTATGGCGACGAATCCATAAACTATCAGGCAAACATCCCCCCCATCCTGCCCCCGTCCTCCATATTCGAGATACCCTCATTTCTGATCCTCTCCAAGTCGCTAATGAACTGGGTGATTATTTCTGCCAGGTCAGTAGTGGCTCTCACCTTTCTCCACACTTCTCTTCTATCAAGACCACCAGAGAACGTACCCCCATTACCTTCACCCCATCCTCCGCTGAGTCCTATAATGCCCCATTTTCTTCCTCTGAACTCATTACTGCCCTACAATCGTGCCGCAACACTCATGAAGGCCCTGACGGTATTCACTACCGTATGCTCCGGCAACTCCCATCTTCCTCCTTATCCTTCCTATTAAAAATTTACAACCACATATGGACATCAGGAAATTTTCCTTCTAATTGGCGAGAAGCTCTTATCCTTCCCTTCCTGAAACCCAATAAATCGGGTACCCTCCCTCAAGACTATCGCCCCATCGCACTAACTAGCTGCTTGTGCAAACTATTAGAGCGAATGGTGAACTTCCGCTTAATGTGGTATCTTGAATCTCACAATCTTCTCTCTCCTTCCCAATTCGGTTTTCGCCGTGCCAGAAGCACAGCTGACCCCCTTGCTCATTTTGAGACATATATTACATCCGCATTTGCACGCCATGAATCCGTACTAGCTATATTTTTTGATCTAGAAAAAGCATATGATACGACATGGCGGTACCATATTCTCCAACAATTGTCCTCTCTAGGCATACGTGGAAACATGGGTGTCTTCATAAAGTCTTTCCTCTCCCAATGCACTTTTCAGGTCAAAATTGCTTCTGCCACATCATCTTTCTTTCCTCAAATCGAAGGGGTCCCACAAGGCAGTGTGCTCAGTACCACTTTATTCCTTCTAGCTGTTAATGATATTGTCTCAGTTTTACCACCAGGAGCCCGGTCATCACTATATGTTGATGATTTAACCATCTATGCATCTGGCACATCCATACCAAATCTCTACCAATTTCTTCAATCTGCAATCTCATCAGTATCTTCCTGGGCCACAAACCATGGCTTCCGCTTTTCTATCTCTAAATCTTTCTCCATCCTTTTCTCTCGCTCACGTGTAAATCCCCTACCCCCACTCTTCCTATATGGCACTCCACTCCAATGCCGTTCCTCTGGCAAATTCCTAGGCGTCATTTTTGACTCCAAACTGACCTGGCGAGACCATATTCTACACATTAAAGAAAAAGCTCTCCGCCGCCTTCGAATTTTAAAAACTCTATCCCATATATCATGGGGCTCAGATCGCAAAACTCTCCTTCATCTTCATGTTACTTTGATCCTCTCCACTCTTGATTATGGATGCCATATCTACTCCTCTGCCTCAACTTCTCTCCTTGCCCATCTTGACACAATCCATCACTGTGGTCTTCGCTTAGCACTAGGCGCCTTCCGCTCCTCTCCAGTTGAGAGCCTGTATACTGAATCAGGCATACCATCTCTATCTCGACGTCGTGCCCTGCTCTCACTCCGATGTTATGTTCGTTTCCACCAACTTCCCCTCACTAAACTAACTATCCCACAATCCCTACTTCCTACCTTAGCTTCATCTCCACGCTTACCTACTCCTTTCTCCACTCGCATGGATACCCTCCTCTCCCATTCCCCTTTCCCCCATCTCCAACCTCTCCCGTTCTCTGTCCATTCCGTCCCTCCATGGCTTATACCTCACCCCCATATTTGCTCTTCTGTTTTCCCCGACCCACCAAAATCAAATATTCCTCCTACTGTCCTTCTCATCCATTTCCTTGACCATGTCTCCACCCATTCCTCTAGTATACACGTATATACTGATGGCTCCAAATCCACCTCTGGTGCTGGTTTTGCAGTAATATTCCCAACTCGTACTTTCAAATACTCCCTTCCTCCTGAATCCAGTGTCCTTACTACTGAACTGTATGCACTCCTTTTTGCCCTAAAACACATATACTCACTCTCCTCTTCCTCTTTTACAATTTTTACTGACTCCCGTAGCTCATTAACTCTCATAAAGTCAATACACAGCACCAACCCCCTTGTTTGTAAGATCCAGAACTGGTTGTTCTACCTGTCCACACGCCACAAAACAATCAAATTTTGCTGGGTGCCCAGCCATGTTGGAATCCCCGGCAATGAACAGGCAGATACACTAGCACGCCACGCTGCTATGTCCACATCATACCAACCACGCTTCTCACGTATCCCAGCCACGGATTATTACCCACACTTTAAGACCTTCTTGTATAAACGATGGCAATCTTTCTGGTCAAGCCTCCACACTAATAAATTACATTCTGTAAAACTATCAATCTCCTCCTGGTCAGCTCCATTTCATCGGAACAGACGTTGGGAGACTGCTCTCGCCCGCTTACGCATTGGCCACACCCGTCTAACACACTCCTATCTGATGTCACAATCTGATCCACCCCTATGTTCCTTATGTAATGTTCCCCTTTCAATCGTACACATCCTATTGTCGTGCCCACGTTTTGAAGCAGCCCGTACCTCTGCTTTCCCCCACCTATCCTCCCTTCACCGACCTCCCAACCTATCAGACATCCTTACAGAATCCCACACTTTCTGCATCAACAACCTGTTCTCTTTCCTCAAACGCATACATATCCTTTATCTAATCTAACACCCGACCTTAACCCTTTAACTCACCAATTCCTTTGCCCAGCTTAGACAACTAATCACTAACTCAACCACCTTTCACTAACATTAACTATAGTGCTACATGACCTTAGATGTCTAGCACATTTATCTTGCTTTTAACCATTAACCATTAACCATTAACCTTTGATGAGGAAGAGACTATTCAATTCCATGCATATTCATACACAGGAGTCAACATCCACAATTGAAAAGGTGCAGTCAATTAACACTCAGATCAAACTGTTATCTGAGCCAGCCTTGCATGTCAGATGTGTTAGTATTTTGGAAAACACACAGATATATTCTGCCTGCCTTATCTAAGATGGGTCAGAAATATTTGGCTGTCCCTGCATATTTTGCTCCCGTTGAAAGGCTTTTCTGCAAAAACAAAAACTTTGAAAGTGTGATGTTCATAAGTAATGATGATGTATCCTAAAGCCTTGTACACACTAGTAGACACGTTGCGCGATTTTGGTCTCTGAGACGTGTCTAGCAATGTCTACGTAGACATGTGTATAGACCAATCCTTGTCTACGGTTGCGTTGAGAGACCAAAATCGCATGTCTATGGTTTCCCGATCACGATGGGTTACGTCAGGCAACGCTAGACACGTTGCCCAAATTTTTCCTAGTGTGTACGACAACTGCAACGGTAGACGAGACATAGGAATCGTATCTCATCAGTGTCTCTCCAGCTAGCAAGTGTGTCGGCTGTGTGTTTAATTATCGAAATGTGGCCCAATGACAAAGTTCTAAGTTTCATTGAAGATTACCATGCATTTAGCTGCCTTTGGGATGTTACCTCTGCAGAATACAAAAACCGGGACAAAAAAAAATTAGCGCTTCAGTCACTGGCCACTAAGCACGAGGCAACAGTGGCAGATATTGAAAAGAAAATACATAATTTAAAAACTTCTTTTAACCGAGAGCGAAAAAAAATAAAACAGTGTAGTGGGGCCTCTCCTAAGAAGTCTACATGGTTTGCATAATGAATATTTGCTATTCTTACTACCATTTAATGAGTCTAGAGGCAGCCGTAACACAGATTTGGAGGAAGCAATCCCAAAGAGTGGAAACAATGAATTTGAGGTAAGTGAAACACCACGGCTCTCTCTAGCTGTTTGATTTTGCTTTTGTTAATTAGGTACACAATATATAAATAACATTCTATGACATAGGTATGTAAATAAAAAAGTGGCACTTCAATACTGAGATGTAACTTTCATACTTTATTATTATTGTACAACATGTCTGATATTAGTTTATGACATCATATTGCCAAGACACCGCTCCCTGTTGAGAAACAAAATAGCTACAAAATTCATCATGGATATTATGTACGTTAGCTGAAGCTCTTCGAGGGATGGCCATCAAATCCAACAAACGATCCCTTTCATTAATGTCTCTTCTCCACGATCCTTCTATCACATTACCATCTGCATCATAGGAGTCTAATGTTCCAGGAGGCGTGTAGTTCTGTCTTGAAACAGAATTCTTGCGTAAATAGTTGTGTAAATATACGCAAGATAACACCACACATTCAACTTTACATGGCTGTAAAGCCATTGGTTTTAGAAACACTCTGAATTTAGATGACATTATTCCAAATACATTTTCTATAATTCTTCGAGCTCTACTCAGTCTGTAATTGAACACTCTTTTAGGAATATCTAATGCACAACCAGGGTATGGTTTCAGTAAGTACGTGGACATAGCAAAAGCATCATCTCCCACTAGAATGTATGGTACCGGCTCTGTTCTACCTGGCAATGCCTCACATTTAGGTACATGGGCCGACTTGTTTTCTAGGTTATTGTACAATGAGGTGTACTTGAAAACACCCCCGTCGGAAATGCGGCCTTGACATCCAACATCAGCGTACAAAAAGTTGTAGTTGGCATCTGCAACACCAAGCAATACTATACTGAAGGTGCCTTTGTAGTTATAATACAAGCTGCCGCTACGGTCAGGTGCGACCATTTGCACATGCTTGCCATCAATGCTCCCTAGGCAGTGTGGAAAATTCCATCCCGTCTCAAATCCATGAACAACAGTTCTCCATTCAGCTTCGGAAGATGGTGTCTGCAAGAAAATTTTTTTTTATAGAAATATTTGAGCAAGCAAAAATGTTAAATTTAAATACCTATGATCATCATTGACAAAGTTGTACCCGAATATTAGCTGGGGATTTATTGTTAATGAAGAGGTTTAACTTGAAGGGACAATATAGTTCATATTGTTAAATTCGAGGTACTCCTACTTAGACTTTCGAACAAAATGTAACAATTATTTTCTGTTTCAGGACACCTCACAGACTGTCAACACTGAGGACCAAATAGCCACTGAGGACCAAGCAGACACTTCTATTAACGAAATTGCACAAGAGGACCATGGCCAATCATTCCAAACACCAAGAAATCCTCCTAAACGTGCCCGGAAGAGTGAAGACTCCCCTGTCAATGAAGCTGTAAACTGCCTGAAATCTCTCACACATATTGTTTCTGGAAAAGATGAGAATTCAGCATTCGGGGATTTCGTCGCAAATAAAATGAAAACCTGTAAGAGGCCCCGGGTGGAGATTTCTTTAGCTCAGCGTTATATTAATGATATATTATTTCGATTGGACATGGGACTGCTATCTACTGATATTCAATCTATGTACAAGTCACATACATATCCCACCTCTATCCCATCACATTCCCCCTTGCCACACTCTCCACATTTCAGTGGTCATTCATCTCCTATTCAACCTTGTTCACCAGTTCCTACAGTTTCTGCATCACCTGTTCCACCTCAACAATCACATTTCAGTGGTCATTCATCTCCTATTCAACCTTGTTCACCAGTTCCTACAGTTTCTGCATCACCTGTTCCACCTCAACAATCACATTTCAGTGGTCATTCATCTCCTATTCAACCTTGCTCACCAGTTCCTACAGTTTCTGCATCACCTGTTCCACCTCAACAATCACAGTCACTAGCTGGAACACTCAATAACCCCTTCGATTTCTTGGAATTGTAGTATGGACAATAATCAAAAGTTTAATAGGTAATTACTATAATAATGACAGAAAAATATCATTTCCTTTATGAAGATCAATGTTAGCAAATAAGTCTGTGGTTTATTTCATTAAACAGGAATGTACTGTATTTTATCATGCAGTTGATATTTAAAGAATTTTCAAATTTGATTTCCTTATTTTCATGTGTTTATCACTATGTTTTAGGAGTATATTTCCCATATATTTTTTTTTATTATGTTATTATTAGCGTACATTTTCTTACTGTACACGAACAAGGAATCTGAATATCTTAATTTGTTTGAAAGCACAGCACTAATAAAATTTAAAGTCAAAATTCGTTGTATATACATACCTTTACATATTGTTTCAGTGCTGAAATAATTGCCTCACAAACTTCTGGGACTATTCGTGATATTGCCTGCTTCGATATTCTGAAGGTGTACATGAGGCTCGTGTACGAGTCTCCACTTGCCAGGAATCGCAGTGTGATAGCAAGTCGAAGAGATGCCGGTATGGTTTCTCTAAATTTGGTATCTTCTTTCGTTATTTGCCCCCCCACCATCAGAAGTAACTCTTCGAAATCTATAGGTGTTAGGCGGGTGAAATTTCTGAAACCCATAGCGTCGTTCATTCTTAATTTATTCAATAATTCAACACCAAATCTAGGTCCCTCTCCAAACAATTTGCGACACCACCAACGTTTGCGTTTTCTCTTTTTTTCACCAACAATTACCACTAGGCATGCGCTCACCCCGCACAAAGCAATGTCCTCCATGATTGCGAGACAGAAACTAAATGGGATACTAAACTTGTAGTGTGGACACTAGACACACATGAAACGGTGTCTATAGACGGCCTAGCAACTATGTCTATAGACCGTCTATAGGCAGTCTATAGGCAAGTCGCGCAATATGGTCTACTAGTGTGTACAAGGCTTAATGGTGGATTTCATTGATATATACAGGAAGCATGTGGCTTTGTGGAAGGTGAAATCAAAAGAATACTCAAACAGGAATTTAAGAAATAAGGGTATAGATGAACTGCATGGAAAGCTACAAGAACTTGACCCACATTGTACGCGGGATGATGTGATGAAAAAAATAAATTCTCTCCGTAGTTCGTTTAGAAGAGAACTTCGAAAGCATGAGAGCTCTAAAAAGTCTGGAAATGCAACTGATGACATCTACACGCCCACTCTCTGGTATTTTGAAGACATGATGTTCATATGTGATCAAGAGATGCCACGAGAGAGTACATCAAATATGGAATCTGTTAATGAAGAGGTGAGTTGCAAGGATTTGCCCAAAACTGGATAACAAGTAACCTTCAGAATCAGAGTGGCCGTTTATTTATTCGTTTTTTTATTGGCTATGCATAGATGACTTTATTCAGTTTCATGGGTGCTTTCATATAATCTGTAGGTTGTAAAATGTATCTCCTGACTTCTCTGGTATATTAACTGAAGTTTCAGACAATTTTGTATTATGAATCATCATTTCATTAAGAATCCAACATGTCAATCTGGATCTGAAGGCTAAACTTGAGCCAGCCATTTGAATAATGAATCAATTAAACTTATCATAACCATTGTATTCATTTATTTTGAAAAAAAAAAATATTACAGCACACTATTTAAGCCAATTCCAATCAGACTGTATAGTTTGAGTTTGAAGGTGTAGACTAGCCTTTCCTATTTTCATGATTTATATGAAGTCTTTTTGCCATGCTACTGTACCGGCATTCACAAAGTAATCCTTAAATCTATCTCTTACTACCTTTGCAATTTCAGGATAGTTTCGTGATCCCTGACCGTGTTGCAAACCTGCTAAATAATTAGGATCTGCAGTTAAGCCTGGCAAAATAATTTTGCGCATTCTATCCTCCCTATGGAAGCAGTCCTCTGGGGAATAGTCTGAAGGGCATGCTTTCCGCAAATAGTTATGTAGCACAACACATGCCATGACAACTTTGTCAATACTTGTCAATTTGAGATTTATACAAGTGTGGAAAATTCTAAACCTGGAAGCCATAATGCCGAAGGCATTTTCTGCCACTCTCCGTGCCCTTGACAGCCTGTAGTTGAATACTCGCTTCTCCTCACTATGTAGGTCCTTTTGAGAATAAGGTTTCAAGAAATCTGTCCTTAATGCAAAGGCCTCATCTCCCACGAATACATATGGCAAAACACAATTTGAAGTAGCTGTTACTGACTCATGTGGGATGCAGAGCTTTTCATCTTTGAGTCCCTTACCAAATTCTGTATTATCAATGACTCCTCCATCTGATATGCGACCATTAGTTCCAATGTCTGCCATAATGAATTCGTAGTTCGCATTTGCAACTGCCATTAACACAAGACTGTTGTATCCTTTGTAATTCCAATAATAAGACCCTGATTCTGATGGCGGCGTTATCCATACATGCTTTCCATCAACAGCACCGAGACAGTGGGGAAAATTCCATCTAAACTCGAACTGTTCTCCAACAGTCTTCCACTCCTTTTCTGTTGCCGGAAACTGAAACAGATAAAAGATACAAGGCTATTAGAGAGAGAGAGAGAGAGAGAGAGAGAGACAGACAGACTTGCACTATATTTATAGGTGTTCTCCTTTCTAGAGTGTTGCTGAGCCACCAGCTGATGATGAAATACCTTCATGCAGCAATGCTCCTGTAGTGAAACGGAGCAGGGGAAACACTACAAAGGCAGATCACATTTTAAACCTGGTCGCTCGTAACTTAGAAGAGAGATCTGAGAGACATGATACTCCTAATGAGACATTTGGGAAGTACGTAGGCCAAGCACTCGACTCCCTGGACAAGAAAACAGCAGGCTGTGCTAGGAAACTGATAAATGATGTGCTTTTTGAAGCAGAGAATGGGAATTTGTCTGCCTATTCTAAAATTGTAACAAACACATACCATTCACATGAATCATTTGCAACACCAGTACCACAGTCGTCAAGTTCCTTTCATGTAAGCGATAATTCTAATAGTGATTCCAATATGTCACACTATTTTGCCAATTTTCAGCCCTTGTAACAATTTCATATGTGTCTGGCAATCAAAGAGTGAGATATAAAGGGTTATAATTTTGGATTGATTTGGGTTTTGTCCTTTCGCTTGACACTGTGGTTAGAAAGCATAGCACATTTCAACAGAAGGTTTCAGTATTTTTCACATACTATTACTATGTACTGATTTTCCTCAATAAATGCACATTACATATTGCATATCATAACCCACCTTTAAATAATCCTTCTTGAGTACTTTGTAGATGGCAACACAAGTTTCTGGTATAATCTTGGATAAGGTGCTAGTTCCCATTACAGCTGAAAATCTCAAGTCTTGCAGAGATCGGCCTGTTGCTAAGAAACGCAGTGTTGCGATCAGCCGTTCATGAGGGCTAATGGACTTCCTCATTACGGTGTCTTTACATGTAATGAATGGAGTGACCATATTCAAAAGTTGTAAATATGTTGATTCATCCATGCGCATATAATTGCGCCATTCATCTGGGTCTAATTTCAGCTCTTTCATTAAGTTGGTATGTGAAAGTTGGTCCCTTTTCAGCAACCAGTCCTTTGTCCACTTTGAACGCTTCCTTTTCTTTTCGTTGAGGGCAATCACTATCCCGACTGCCATCACCTCGTCTGTGGTAAGTGACATGTTGCTCCTTCTCCTTTTGGCACCGACTGAGGTTGTCTGTCAGTTTGGTTTGAACGAGTAAACACTCTTCAAACATGTTGTGTTGGAGGTTTGATGAGCGTGTTGGCCAACATGTTTGACCGTGTAAAACCCCCTTATATGATCGCGGGGCACGGGTCGGGTATTTTTTCAGGGTGTTGCTAGCGAGGATCATGATAACAAATGCCCCCGCGGTTTTGGTGACACTACAGTTTAAAGTATCAGGAAATTTGTACTTTTGTACATTTGTACTGCAACTGTATTCAATATTTTTGTTTTGTGAAGCTACATTATTTTGATAATTACTGAAAGGATTTCATTGTAATATGCATTATATGTATTTTTTCATGATATTTCGGCTTTACTTATTTTTAAAAAGTTAATTTTAATACAGGTTTGAAAGATTCCAAAGTGTATGAGTATGTGAAATTGTTCAAAGGAGTTACACACATTTTCAAATTCATATAAGATTTATTGCATTACATTTTCTCGTGTATATTTTATATCAGCATAAGGGTTTGCAATTTCATAATTCCATATTGTATTTTTTGTTTTTCTTTGCCATTTCTTACTTTTATTTATGAAAAATGAGTCTCAACACGTTGCGCCGAAAATAAATTCAGTTACATTTTATTTTGTTTATTTTTCCACTCATTCATGACCCTATGACCCTATGTATGAAAGTAAAAAAACATAGCCAATCTGTATATAAAAAAATACATTAAATATATACTTTTTTTAAACTCATCTTTGCACCACCGGTGTACCAACTCCCAATAAGGTGGTATGCATGTGGACCAAGACCCTGGTAACTTGTTAAAGACTTTCTCTTTTATTCAGTTAATACATTGCATACATTGGGAAGGATTTCCAGCCTAGAAATAACATTGCCTTTTCTGCGTCTGTAAACTCTGGAATTTTCTGTGGGATTTTTCTTTGGGGATGGTTCTGCTACCGCAGGACCATCATGGGGCACTGCAGAACAGGACGCCATCAATAAGTGTTTGGATGATATTATAGCTGATGTCCCTAATGGGGTGACACAGGCCCGACAAGTTCATCTGCTGGCGAAGTGTCACTGGGTACTTGGCTGGGAGGAGTACCAACGGGATGATATAGCTGATATCCCCAGGAAAGTAAAGTGTATTGATGTAGAGATGGAAAACAAGATTTAGTTGTACGGGATAAAGATCTCGTCTAGCAATCTTGCTGACCTGCGTTCGAATCCCTCGCCACCAGTGGATGGTAACCCCGGCCATTCCTTGCGCACAGGGGATAATTTAAAAGCAAAATAAAACAGACAGTATGTCACACCAAGAATATCCATTGTAACAAATGGAATCAAGCTAAATTATTAATTATTATTATTATTATCGAAGTCACTGATACACAAAGGGTACCAAATTTATGCTGACAACTTCTTTTCATCAGTATCTGTGGCAAAAGAGCTGCTTGATAAAGGTATAGGGTATTGTGGATCAATTTGTGAAAACAGACGAAAAGAACCAGGGTTATTACCTAATAAGCAGCTGACTCGAGGCCAATGTGATTGGGCTATGGATCCTTCTGGCATATCATGCACAAAATGGATGGATAATAGAGCTGTCCTGATTCTTTCAAACATGCATGATCCATCATTGACAACCCGAATTCGTTGCCGCAGTAAAGATGGCAGCACAGTGAATATTAGTGTACCTGTTGTTGTAGCTGATTATAGACGTCACAAGAGCTATGTTGAAAAAGCAGATATGATGAAGTCTTTATACGAAATCGATCGCAAATCAAAGAAATGGTGGCACAAAATTTTCTTTCTCTATGTTGACGTTGCTGTTGTGAATGCAAGAAAATATTGAGCTCAAGGTCTTCAGAGGAAGACTCATTACTGGGTTGATTGGAGCGCATGGAATGGAAGAAAGGGAAAGAAAAAAAGCAACCTGTGGAGAAACACCATAGGTATAAAGAAAGCACCCCCAAGGAAATTCGCCTTGACCAGTCAAAACATATGCCGGAATATAGACTCAATTTTACACGCCACAGCCACTGTAGCACAAAGAAAGAGCCACATAGAACTAGGTGGATGTGTGCAACATGTAAAGTTCCTTTATGTAACAACAGTGCTAGACAGTGTTTCTCATTGTATCATGTGTAAAAAGACAGTGTGCTCTGTAGGTCGACGTTTTTCTTTTTTTCTATATAGAGAGGAACGAAGGATAAGTTCAAATGTGTAGTAGCATTACATGAAATGGATACTTATTTGTAAAAAAAAAAAAACTATATATGTTTGTTTATTTTTTATTTGCTGACTTTGGAAAGGATAATGAAAAATCCATTGTGCTTGGTGATGATGACCACCTCACTATAACTTTCTAATTAAAGATTATAATCATAAAACTGTACCTTATTTAATCTTAATTTGTTTCATCCATATAACCCCCAATGTATATGTTGTTCTCATGGGGGGGGGGGCACAGATGGGGACTGAGGCCAAGTGCTGAAGATGACCCCTACTTTGATCCTCAGCCTGCAGAACAACTAATTGTGCATGGACTTTTCTTCAGTCTCTGTCCTTCTCCTCTTCAATCCCTTCTGTCCACTTCATAAGGTGTAAGAGCTATGCTTGAAAGGATGAAAGGCTGGCTTT